TACATACAGTATTACAGAGCCAGATTGCAAAAACTTGCAAATAAGGTCTTTTTTCATAGTCTTAGAGAAGAATAACAGAATTACAGAATATTCAGCCCAAATCAAATCGAAATCGGGCTTTGCATCAGAATTTGATCCGCAACTCACTCAGAAATCGAGTAAAAGTAAAATTGCGATGGGCTTAATAATACTGAATGTAAACAAAACATTTAATACATACTGTACAGAGCCGGATTGCAAAAATTTGCAAATTTATAAGGTCTTTTTCTCATAGTCTTAGAGAAGAATAACATAATTACAGAATATTCAGCCCAAATCAAATCGAAATCGGGCTTTGGCACTTTGCATCAGAATTTGATCCGCAATTCACTCAGAAATCGAGTAAAGTAAAATTGCGATGGGCTTAATAATACTGCATGTAAACAAAACATGTAATACATGCATACAGAGAGCCGGATTGCAAAAACTTGCAAATAAGGTCTTTTTCTCATGTAGTCTTATAGAGAAGAATAACATAATTACAGAATATTCAGCCCAAATCAAATCGGGCTTTGTATCAGAATTTGAACCGAAACTCATGCACTCAGAAATCGAGTCAAGTAAAATTGCGATGCCGATGGGCTTAATCTCGGGCTTAATAATAATGACCACTGTAAGTAATACTGACCATTCCAATTTCCATTTGTTATTTGGCATGAAGAATATATTTCATTGCATGTCGCATTGTCGCATGAAAAATTGTCAGCCGGTGAGAGGCGAAAGGCCCGTAAAATTTACTGTAAATCACTGTATAGGACTGAAAGTTCTCAAAATAGCCGGTGTGAGGCGAAAAGCCGGTAGGATTTAAATCACTGTAGCAAAAGTTCCGTGTACGTACGGACGTACAACCGACCATCATGCATTGCGCTTGAGCTCGATCAGCCACCAAACTGTGGGGCTCGCCCCAATTAAATCGCGTCATTACCATGTAATAAATAACCATACCATATACAAACATGCACTATAATGAAAACTATAGATACTGTCAGATTTATATACTACATAAGTAACTATATTTATCATTTATAGACCCGGAGCGAGGGGGGTTCGGCCGAAGTGATGAAATTTTCCGAGGGGCTATCCCCCGAGCGGACGGTCTATAAATGATATATTATACCGAAAGTTAAAGAACTCACTAAGTTCGGAATAAACTTTAAAACTTGCTGAATATTAACCACGCGAATACAATTTTTAATTTCTTATGTATACCTGAGTTTTTAACGTTTCCTCTTTAAAATATTTGAGCATGTATCCTTCGGTTCATTAAAGGTAACATACGTCTTGAAAATCTTGGTTAAGGTTACAGGACATCCTTTTTGGTGTTTTGCGGAAAATCGCTACTGCGCGCTCAATATCAGTCCGATTTTCATCAAATTTTCACCAAATGTTCTCCAGTGCATGCAAAATATGGTAAAGTTGTAAAATTAACAAGCAATAAAATAATGTAAGAATTATTCATGAAAATCTTAAATCGCGGTACCTTTACGCTTTCGAGTTGTGCTCCTGCTGGTTTTAAGTTATATTTATGAAAATATCATTTTTATACAGTAAAATAGTGGTTTTAAGAAATTGTGTTCGGAAATTTTTGTTTATTTCGTCATTCCGCTGATATGGCGATTTCTTTGACGACTGCAATATATTTCTGAATTGTTTGAGTGAATTGCTCTTTATTTTTAAAATATCCAGAATTAAAAAAAAGCCGAACACAATTTTGAGACTGACGTATTTAGCTTTGTCCTGTGAAAATTTGAGAAAAATTGGTTAAAACCCGCAGGAGCACAACTCGTTTGAAAATCAGTAATTACTGTAAAATTTTTCGTGAGAAAATTGAATTTGAATATTACATTTTCAATGTTTTTCTTATTGCAGCGAAATGTATTTTATCAAATAACTCTGCGAGTTTTCAACATTTTTCGTTCAAACTTGGTCAGACAGTAGAACTAGTCTAATGCTTTCATTGAAACCAATAAAAAAAATTTTAGGCAAAATTAACACTCAAAGGTGTTCTGTAACCTTAAATCTAATCTTCTGCACGAAATTACAAACAGCTCGCGAACGCCATATTGTTTCAGAGCGTGGTGTCCACACGTCACGCGTGAGCGTGGGATACTATAATATCCCACGGTGGATCTGCCGCGGCCGTGGGATATTATAGTATCTCACGCTGGATTGCGAAATCATGAATTTGAGTGAAATACCGTAAAAAATCACATGTCACGTGGTACAAATGATGTTTTTTCATTGGACGATTTGAATTTGAGGTATAATATTGTAATATAGTCCTATATATACAAAGGTAAATAAGTGAATATATAGCATTACTATAGACGTTTAGGCCACAAAATTCTACTTAAAATCCTGACATTATCAAAGCAAAATGAATCACTACACAATTCACATTTATTAGTTGGTGATTAGAATAGTGATTGATTATAGGGGGCCGAAAGTCGTGGGTTTTCTCCGGGTACTCCGGTCTCCTCCCACAGGGAAAGTTGACAGGGTGGGTTAGGCACATAGGTCAGGGGGCAGATCATTAATGAGGTATGGACTAATAGCGGCTGCTTAAAGCGCCATTTGTAAGCTCACAGTCTACCTCGGTCTGCTTCACGCCAGTTTCGGCTGTAATTGTAATGCGCACTTGATCATATACATATGTAAAATCGCGCAATAGAAATATTATTATATTATTAGAATAATATCATAGTTGCCTCGAAATCCTTTGTCTCGCGAGGTACGATTAATCACTAATTTACCTCATTACTAAAACATGGGTAAAATTATAACTAATTTTACCATCGGCAAAATTAGAACTAATTTTTGCCCGTGGTAAAATTAGTTCTAATTTTCCCCTGCATGCTTCATGAGGGAAATTTAGAAGACAAAAGCGTACCTCATTACCTCTGATTGGAAAGCTGTACCTCATCGAAAATCATCGGCACAACTATGGACAGTATCTGACGACACCGTCCCGTACACATTCGAACAATCACTTTGCCAGCTTTTATTCCCTAATCTTGAACATTTCAATTGTGGGAGAAAATTCCGTTTATGCGCATGCCTAAAACGCCAATGTACACGGAGATGTGTTTCTGCGCGTGCGTATATATATATGAAAAGTGTTTGTACCACAATCATAAGACAATCAAACAGCATTCAAAACAAGCAACACACCACGCGCGATTCCCTCGTTAACTGTGATATTACAAAGTAATAGCATGGCATTACGGTCGATTAGTGATGAAATGTCCCTCAAGCCTCGAGAGGTTTAGTAAAAGTCCCTCGGCGGTAGCGCCTCGGGACTTTTACTAAACAGGGCTCGAAATAACGTTCGCAACGTTCCCGATCATGGTGATCGGCAATGAGGACTTTTTGCCGATCAAATAAAAATGTGGCCGATCAGGAGCATTTACCCTCATTTCCTTCAAAAAATTCTAAATATGCCGTGGGCATTGAATACACATTTGAAGTTTAACTTTATTTCAAATTGAAGTTTAAATCTATGACATTTGTGGACTTATATATTCACTACTAATAGTGTAACTATATTTAACTAGTGCTTAATAAACTTTATTTTATTATAACACTTTAGTTTAACACACAGTTTTAATTATACCATTGCATTTTTTCACACAAAAGCAAGAAACACAGCAGCATTATCAATTAAGAACTAAAACTTATTATTTTATATTAAAAGAGAAAATCCTACTCAAAAAATCCTATCAATTTGAAATTATTATACCGGGTGGCGCAAAAAAAAGTACAACTGTTTGATTACTTGTAACTCAGAAACCATAAGCAGTAGGTAGAACCATAAATCGAGTTTCATTGCATCCAGCGATATCTAACTTAAATTTTGGTATATTTGACAGGCATATTCGTCCAAGATTAACTGAGATATAAGAGTTTAAACTTTTGTTAACAATTTTGAAACGGTCACAAATTAGCTAAAAATTAGCATATTTTTGTCGTTAATACGACATATATTGCACCAAGAGATGCACGTCAAATACTCCATGTTCGGATCGTGTAAAATAAACGTCTATTCGTTAGGAAATGCATGTCCCCGAGCAAGAATGCAGCGTCTTGCCCGTGAAATCATAGAATCGAATGCATCTTGAATCATCTGCTGCTCCAGGTTTCGGCATGCTGCAACAATTGCTTCACGAAGCTCTCCCAAATTGGTTGGTTGCTCATTATGTGGCACATCCCAAATTTTATGTTTTAGGTAGCCCCAAAGAAAAAAATCGCATACTGTTAGGTCTGGAGAACGAGGTGGCCAAGGCCAATCGCCCCGTTTACTCATCACTCGCCCAGGAAATTGGCCTCTAAAGGCCATGTTATACGGTGCAATTTTTCTTGCAACTTGCAATGCAATTCTACTCTTGAGAGATGTAAAATTGCCAAATACGAGTCTTCGTTTCACTCCGCTGATGTTTTCTCAACATATCGAGAATTCGTCACTGATTTCACTAATTAACATCTCTCAAGAGTAGAATTGCATTGCAAGTTGCAAGAAAAATTGCAACGTGTAACATGGCCTTAAGGTATCGCATCGTTGCATGGCTGGTATGACAAGACGCACCGTCTTGCTGCCACCACATGTCATGCCTATTGATATTTTGGGTGCGAAAGTCTCGCTGTATAACGTTATACCGTATGATGCGCAAGTACTCTCTGGTATCGAGGTTTCTTTCAACAAAATGCGGACCTAAGACATTGCCTGCTCTGGTTAAACCAACCCACACCATGATTTAAATGGTTTGAACCTTGAAGAAATTCCACATGATCAGGCGGGTGCCCATTGCCATAAGCCGCATACATTCTTGTGTTCCTTGTGTTTACTTCAGAATTTAAGCTGAACACTGCTTCATCTGATACTATTAAGTGATCAAGAAAATCTGGTCTCCCTTCTACGGTATTTACAAGTCGGTGGCAAAAAGCTAATCGTTGTGCTGGATCGCCTTCACGCAGCTTTTGCCTGCGTATCAGTACGTATGGATGAAATTTGATATCCAGTTGAACAATTCGCTGGAATGTGCGACGGCTCAATCCCAAACCATTTCGCCTCGATGATCTTTGGCCATTTTCTAATAGTGATTGTCGAACGAATTCTATGTTTGCTGCCGTTCTTGCGGTTCTTCGTCGACCACTTCTTCCTTGGTTAAGATTGAGACATGTTCCCTCTCGCACAAACTTTTGTAAGGTTCTTAGCACTGTTCGTACAGTAGGGGCAGGGACGTTACCCCGACGACCGGCCCATCGCTGTCTAACTTCTTGAGCATTATTTACCCTTCCATATTCCAAAGAAACCCAAACTCTTTGGTCCTTCGTTAAACGAGGCATAATTATTACTTAGAAGCACACGAGGAGACATTCGCATTTTAGAATTCAGTTAATTCCCTTGGGACGTCGAATTAAAATTTAGAAGGAAACTTTTAATCAACCTTGCCTTGCAGCTTAATTTTTCTGTTGCCGAACAGCAAACAAAAACGAGAAAGCATCTCTGTTACAAGGAAGATGCAATTTGCACTTCAACTACGTTTGTTAAAAAACCTTTAAAATTATAATGGTGATGCGGTTATAAAATCAGTTTAATAGGCCGTTTTTAGCTAATTTGTGACCGTTTCAAATTTGCTAACAAAAGTTTAAACACTCATATCTCAGTCAATCTTGGACGAAAATGCCTGTCGAATATACCAAAATTTAGGTTAGACATCGCTGGATGCAATGAAACTCGATTTTGGGTTCTACTGCTTATGGTCTTTGAGCTATATGTAATCAAACAGTTATACTTTTTTTTGCGCCACCCGGTACAAAGATACGTTCGTCGTCAGCGGTTCGGATTGCAGACTGCACTGTTGAAAAGACGACAATATTTCGTGTAAATTTGTTTTAATAAAAGTAAATTAATTACTTTAGAGCGAGAATAGTATTGCTGCCTTTCCTGTCGTATGACTCGTATCAACTATACAAGAGCTTTTCGCGTGTTTTTAAATGTGTTTTATGTTTACTTTTATTTGTCTTTTACCGTGTACAGGTAAGCATGTCTTTTAGACAATGCTCAAATATATTTCTTGCCGATCAAGGTGAACGGCAACGTTGATTCTTCACCGATCAAAAACAATTTCCTGCCGATCATTGATCGTTGATCGGCCGTTATTTCGAGCCCTGCTAAACCTCTCTCGGCTTTCGGGTACATTTAATCACTAATCGCCCTGAATGCCATGCTATTACTTATAAAAATTAGAATGTGAAGAATGCTTTATACTTACATGCATTGTAGAACCACCTACAGTTCTTCGTTTCGTTTTCATATTTGGGGCAATTTGTTTCTTCGTTTGACCTCTGTTTGAATATAGAGCGGAAAGATCAGGGCGTTGAGGTTGTAGAATTTCTCCCTGAGATTTTGGTAATAACATTACTTGCGCAACACCTGAAAACTGGCCCCCTTTTTGTCTTGGAGGCCTGTGTATAAAGACGAAATCAATAAATTGTTATTGTCAAGATCGAGTTAAATGACGAATACTATAGCCTATGTACGAGCAAATCGTCATGAGCGCTTACCTTCGAACATCAATTTGTGATTGTACTGGATTGTGCGATGAGTAAGGACGGTCCGATTGTGGAACAACTTGAGGATTTAATTTGACAAGATTCTGCTGCTGCTTATTTTGCTGTTGTTTATTTTGTAGTTGTTGTTGCAAAGTCATCACTTGTTGCTGCTGTTGTAGATGTAGTTGTTGCTGTTGTTGCTGCTGCTGCTGTTGTTGTTGTTGTTGTTGTTGTTGTTGTTGTTGTTGTTGTAGCTGTTGTTGTTGGTGCAGTTGTTGTTGGTGCAGTTGTTGTTGGTGTATTTGTTGTTGTTGTTGTTGCTGTTGTTGTTGCTGCTGTTGTTGTAAATGCTGTGGTTGTTGATGTAGTTGCGGTGATGGTCTCACCATTTTCTTCGGCCGCTTCGGTTTAGATTGATCATCATTTATCTGCGCGTCTAGTCCTAGTTGACACGAATCCAACCTCTCGCGTTTCACGGCTTCATTTAGGTTAATCATCGAGTTATAAGGTCTCCCTGAACCTACATAATCACCAAAGTTATGGTGAGGTAATTTCAGAACATTTATATGGAAAGCCACTTTTTTCATATTTAACATTTGGTAAACTTATCGCTTCGCCTCAATCTAGGCGAGGTAAACCTACGTCACTTTGGCTATAGAGCCTCGTCTTCGTGTACGCGACTACCCGGTTTCCCGCTTATACCTACTTGATCGCGCCTCCTACTAATTTTACTATAAAAAAATACATCGCGTTCATTTTGAGGAAAAGAGCTGGCCTACGAAGATCAAGTGGTATGAATATTTGCTGTGTTTGCATTGCTTCATTTGAACAGGCCCTTAGAAAAGGTTCAGAACCTCAGCAAATCTGCAGTTTCTGTAGTTAGCCAGCAGGCCTTAAAATATCTTTTACAGGGCCGTCTGACAAAATGTCCGATGACGTTTAGTTTGGGTCGGACATATGTCCGATGTCATGAGTCTGAATGGCACAAATGAATATCAGCACAATGTATTAATATTGAACGGTAAATGTTGTGAAGTCATACTTATTTCCAAGCCAAAATTAACTCGCTTTCCAGAACAGCAGTATTAAAAAAGACTACGAGCCTGTTTTCGAGTACGTTAAACAACATTTCCAGTTCACCTTTTATACAATAGTACTCTTATTTTCCACTTAACATGCAAGCCTCTAGTCCTGGGATAGGGTACATTTTGATCGATTTACGTTGGACAAAGCTACAGTTTGGTCTGACACCAATACACTCAGGTCGGACAAACAATAAACCCCAGTTTCACTTAGGTCGGACAGAATGTCCGGCGGTTTCCTCTCTACGTCGGACAATTTCACGAATGGGTCGGACAATGTCCGTGACCGACCGATATTTTAAGGCCTGGTTAGCCAATGTATAATTATTTACCTTTTGGTTCGAGAGTATTCTGTAGTTTTCCAGGAGATCTTACTCCAGGAGGTAAATCCATGCTGTCGTCATCAGAGTCATCAGGAGGATTAAGATAATAACTTAACGGTTTGCGTTTTGCAAAATTATGATAATGAGCACGCGGCAAGTCTGTTTGGTAGGGTAGAGGTTTACGTTCAAGTCTTACAGCACCAAACCAGGAGAACAACATCGGAGCAGGATTTTTATGTCCTTCTATTAAATCCCATGGACTGATCTTTTGTCGGCCCTTGACTTGCAATCCCTGAGACACAAGGCAGGACGTTATAGAAAGAACAAACAGTCGAGCAGTCATTGTTTAACAGATATGAGCGGTCGTGTTTGAGGGCATGGTTTGCCAAATTTTATCTCAATAAAATGTAAATCAATTCAACGCAATGAAGTAAAATGACATACAATGCAATTGCCATGCACTAGCTGCAACGCACTACACTACACTATACACTACACTATGTACTATACACTACAATATACCACAGTTAACTATACACTACACTATACACTACACTATACTATAAACTACATTATTATATACACAAGGTCTGGATATGAGGTATTCTGCAATCTGATTGGTTCTCTACTAGCAGGATATTAGCTCATATCCTGCTAGTAGAGAAAAACAAAATGGCGGCCAAACTGAATTTACGATGTTTTTCAAACGAGAAAACGGCAAGTTGTCGCTTTTTATAGCCTTTACAGGATTAAAAACACAATGAAAAAACTCCCACAAATTGTTTTCAGGTTAGCAAATAAAGTTTTAAAATTTAAAATGGTTAAAAATATATATTTTTGAAAAAATAATTGGCCGAAAGAGCGAAGATAAAAACATAAACAAAATAGAAAAATATTGAAAATATCCGAAAAGCAAAGTCTGTGAATTCAGACCTTGTGTATATAATAAAACAGTTATTCCACTCACTCTCGTCGAATATGAGCGATAGCCGATTCGGCGCTACGCGCCTCATCGGCTATCAGCTCATATTCGACTCGAGTTCGTAGAATAACTGTTAACTATACTTGCACTACACTATACTATACACTACACTATACACTACACTATACACTATACTATACACTACACCACACTATACATTACACTATAAACTACACTATACACTACACTATACTATACACTACACTACACTATACACTACACTATACTATACACTACACTATACTATACACTACACTATACTATACACTACACTATACACTGTACTATACACTATACTATACTCAGGGTTCGTAGTCTCCAAGACCAAAACATTTCAAAGACTTTCAAAGATTTTTGCTGCCTATTTTCAAGGACTTTTCAAAGATCTTTGAGAGCAATCAGTTGTCGAAAAATTGCAAGTGTAAGCAACGTTTTTACCCAATAATTATAGTCCCGTCAAATCACATCCTAAAATGCGCCTTTTCATCGATATCTCATATTTGTGAAAATCTTGCTTCAATCAATCTATTTTATTAGCTAGGAAATCGTATAATCAAATACTCACTAAACAATTCAAAGACTTTTAAAGACTTTCTTCGCTTTTTCACACAATTCAAAGACTTTTCAAAGACCTTAAAGACCTGAGTTCAAATTTAAAGACTTTCAAGAATTTCAAAGACCCCTACGAACCCTGTATACTATACACTACACTATACACTACACTACACTATACACTATACTATACACTACACTACAAACTATACTATACACTACACTATACACTACACTATAAACTACACTACAAGCGATATTTGATGGGCTTATACAAGGGGGAGGCTTATACAGGGGGCTTATACAAGGGGGGGCTTATATACGGGGGGGGGGGGCTAATACATGGACGATCTTTTGTGTTAGTAATAAACAAGTCAGACATAAACAAGTCAGTCATGAACAGGAAAATAAACATGTATTAATAACGGGCTTTGATTAACATAGTCGGCTATAAAGACAATGACAATGGTTTTAAATATCGTTCTCTGCTATATTAAAACACAATGTCAATGTTGAATAACGTAGTGGGCTACTTGGCTTATATTCGGGAGACTTATATTTGGGGGGCTTATATTCGGGTGGGCTTATATTC